CGTTTCTAAAACCGAGGCCGTCAATAAATGAGATGGATCACATACTGATCCCCTTAGTAAGAACACCGAATTGATGGCTTCTTTTTGTTGCTATTGTCTGTGAGGAAATGGAAATTTCCACAGAGTTGCCTAGATTTGATGTGGCTCATCCTTTTGTTTTGACTTCTGAGGATGATCAAAGTCTTGCTAATGTAAACTAATTGGAGGCATTGGAGATGCTGGGTTTTTGGTCATAAAAAGAAAGAATTTTATTACTTTTAATTACAATTATTAAATATAATTTTATGAGGCTAATAATGATGATTTAGTAGGTACCTTAAGATTAGATATGAGTAATTGTATTTAGAATGTTAAAGAACGAACATGCTTGGACTATTGCTGGATTCCACTTTTACTGCAATGAGTGGGTGTTTAAAAGCGGTTTTTTCCTTTTGCACATGCACACGTCTATCCTACAATAAAATCTAGTATGGAGGCATGTGTGGACCGCTGCTCATAAACTGGGCATGCCTTATTTTATTTGTAGTTATTTGATGGAGAATATTTGCTCCCTCCCCTTAAATTTTTTCTTTTTTTTTTTTTTGGTTTATATAGATTGACAATTATTAACATAGTGCTAAAGAACAGGGGAAGGGCACTTGTGCAGGGCCATGGCTTTTTTTTCATAGAGAAATTCTTTGAAAATGATCAAGCTGCCATTTTCTTTGAAGATACTTGGAATACGAATTCCAAGCCCAGAAGATTTTCAAGGGCGCTGACTCCACTCGTCTCCAGTTCTGAGCGGGCGGTGGGGCGCGCAGCCCTAACACGGCAGGGGCAGCGGCTCCGCCTTCTCCCCCGCCCACAGCAGTGCCCCACTGGGAATCAGAAGGCCTGAGTCACGTTCCAGCGCCTGTCACTAATGAATTATCCCCATGTCACGAGCCGCCTCATTTCCAAGGTTTCTTTCCCAGTCTCCTTATATTTAAATGGTTTATGTGTGGTTGTCACAGTGAAATATTTCTAAAACATAGAGTGAAAGTATGGGGCCTCCTTTGTATAATAGTGGGAGTGATTTTGAACTAAAACTCTTCTCGAATTTCTCACCAATCCACAGAAGTTGAGGGCAGAGAACGGGGACGCTGAGTGCTGTCAGAGAACGTGTCCTCATGCTGATCCGAGGGCGGGCGTGAGGAATACGGAACAGTGGGATGTGACCAGGGAAATAAACAGCGACTTCATTTTGTCTACTGTGATAATTAAAATTGGCACATAATTTGCATATAATTTGCATGCTACCTAGATTGCCGATAACTTCAATTACTAGACAGATGCTTCTCTTCTACCAGCTCTTCTCTCTTCTGTCGAGACTTTGTTGGATACACAAGGTTCACTATGTCTGGGTCTCCATGTCAAACCATCTCTATTTCAGCCAGATTCAAGGAGCTCCAGCCAGCCGCGCCACTCTAGCAAGGTGTCCTCACTCCGGCCCAGCGCAAGTTCAGCGACTGCAGTCCTGCTTTATTTAACCACTTGGGTCCGGCGCTCACGGCCGCGACGCCTCGCCCGCAGCCGCACTCACAGTCCGCACGGTGGTCTGTGCTGCGCACTGACCACGTGTCCGCTTTGCTCCTGTGTGATGAGGAAAGCTTGAGAGCACTGAAAGCTTGTTTCACTTTCCAGGCAGCTTTCCTTGTCATGTAAATCAGAATAGGTTACATAGACATATATGTTTTTATTGTGTTATTTTTAAATGTTCGCAATTTTATTTTGATAAATGAAAGATTAGAAAAGTCACATCGCGGCTGTCGGCTACGGTCGCTGTACAGGTTCATCTGTGGCTGTCGACTGTCGTCGCTGCTGGTCGCGAAGTGGTTAATTAGATGGCGCCTCCGTTTCCAGCTCTGTTCCCTCGGCTGTCTGCAGCTGCGGTCCTGCCCTTCACTCGCGTAAACTCTCGCAGGGTGAAGGTTTCTCCCTGTGGTCCAGTCCCATGTCTGGTTCGTGGCCCTATGCTCCTGCAGCTCAGCCTGGACTTCCCGCTGGCCGACCACCGAGCTCCTGGGCACCGCCCGCTCCCCGCCTGGCACAGCCGCCAAGCTCCCGGCACCGAGTGTCTCATCCCCACAAACCAGTGTCCCTCAAGCCTTTGCTTACTGGCTGCTAAGTCTGCCAGCTGCTCCTGGGGTCAGGTGGCACCTGCAGTGGGTCTGCCGACGCCCTGCGTCCTGCGTCTCCTGGCCTGATGGAGCCCAAGCCAGGCGCAAACATGGCCCAGTGCAGAAACCCTGATTAAAGGTTTTCTTCCCTGTACAAAATTTCCTTCAAAGACGTTCCCTTAAGACTGACACCTGTCTCATGTGGTCAAAAGAACTCAATGTTCTTAGGCATTTGATGCACTTACAAATAGACAACAGAGAGGACCAAGATTTTTGGAACAGAAATTAAGAAAACCTAATGCACATACACACTCTCCTGCAAAAAAAAAAAAAAAAAATCCAGCTAACCTTCAAACAATGGAGCATTTTATCAAAGACTTAATGATTCCAGAAGGGCACAATCTGTTATAATAATGAACATTGGTCATGGACTTCGGTGGACTGGGAGATGATAAGAGCAAATTAGTTAATAAGAATGTAGCTACTAACTAAATTAATGCCTCCTGGCCCGACATGGTGGCTCACACCTGTAACCCTAGCCCTCTGGCAAGATTGCTTGAGGTCAGGAGTTTGAGACCAGCCTGAGCAGGAGCGAGACCCAGTCTCTACTAAAAACAGAAAAATTAGCCAGGTATGGTGGCGCATGCCTGTAGTCCCAGCTACCTGGAAAGCTGAGGCAGGAGAATCATGTGAACCCAGGAGTTTGAGGTTGCTGTGAGCTAGGCTGACGCCACGGCACTCACTCTAGCCCGGGCAACAAAGTGAGATTCTGTCTCAAAAAAAAAAAAAAAAAAAAAGATCGTATACCCATATAGGGTGCTTACCATGAATGAAGCATGGAGCTTGCAGGACTGGAAGTTGCTCTGGGTGAGTCAGAGCAACTTCCACGGCACTCTAGCCCAGGTGACAGAGTGAGGCTCAGTCTCAAGACAAACAAACAAGCTGAAAAAAAAATTAATGCCTCCCCCCAAAAAAGAGCCAGACGTGTGAATTTGATAGTCCCAAGAATTACCAAATATTAGTATCTAGGTGAACTTTAATATAGTAATTATGGTCTGCTTGAATTAATCCCGTGATGCTAAATGGATTGCTTGTTGTCATTCTTGAAAGGTTATAGTGAGTACACTTGCCATGGTCATCCATTTGGAAGAGGCTATGTTGGAAGTAAGTGTAGGTGGAACCGTATGTAGTTTGAAAACCTGTGGAACTGTTTTGAGTGATAGGTGAATGTATTTTTGATGGAGAATTATTTATTTGCAAGAGTGCTTGGTTTAAAAGAAATCTAAGCAGAATCTGGAAGAAATACTCAATTTCACTGCTATGCAAGGCAAAATATAAGAAAAATAAGTTCTTTTTGAAAAACAAATATGAAGGCAGAATTTAGAATGATGGTTAATGAAATGAAAACATTAAGAAGGTTTTTACTGCCCCCTGCTGTCAGTTTCTAAAAGAAATACTGTAAAATTATTGCAAACTGACACAAGGTGTGTTAATTGAACAAATTGGTTGGGAGAAAAAAAATCCTCCCTCTAATGACAATAATTTTCAGCCAGGAATGCTCATGCTCACTTCATATGCATGAGCCAGGACTCCTCAGGGTAAGAAACCCACATCAGCAAACCGTGGGTTAGTGGACATAGGGCGAGAGAGAAAGTTTGTGATTTGTGAAATCTCGTTTCTCATTCATATGAGAAAGTACCAGTTGCTTCAGCTTTTAGCCAGTGATGTCTGCTTTACCACTTCTCCAAATTAATGTTGAGTTACATTTTTCGTATTTATTTAATTTAGTTCAAAACAAATGAACGAATGGTTTGTATTTTGTAGCATAAGCCTGACTTTGAAATGTTATTTTCATCCTGACATGTGAAATTAAGAAGTCAGAAATAATAGGCAACAGGAAGGCAGCAGCTGCTGGTTGCAAGGCCCTGTTCTATTGTTTCCACCTATTTTCTTCAACCCTCGTAATCCGAGGTGGATATTATTATCCTTCCCATCTCACAGGTGAGGAGTCACGGGGTTACAGCACCGACTGAGGTGGCCCAGCTGGGAAAGGTGAGTCCTGGAGGGAAACCTGCGGGAGGGTTCCAATCCACTCCCCTTAACCTGTCCCCACGGGAGAAGGTACAAATTCTGCGACCGAGAAGGAAGAACTTGTAGAAACTGTAACGGACATGGTGGTGTGTCTCTCCACTCCACACGCACACTCATTTCATCGTTATTTTTTGCTGTCCCGGTGCTTCAGTGGCCAGAGCCTGCCCAGGCACGACAGGCACACGTGCGACGCTGCAGCTGGGCTCACCTGCGTTGTGAAAGGGAGCGTTCTGCCCGCCTCGCTGGCCTGGCTCTGGAGGCGCGCGCCTTCCGCTGAACACGGCCCGCCCAGCCCGTGCCTGAGAGCAGCGCGTCTACCGGGGCTGATCCCACGGTGGGCCTGTGCACACCTGTGCCTGCCACCTCGAGCCTCCAGACGGCTCCTAGTTTTAGGGGCGCCTCCAAACACCGCCCGCGGCTCACGCTCTGACACACGCGTGTTTGCGCAGAGCTTCGAGCAGATCGGCTCCACGGCTCACGGTTGCCCTAAGCTCCAGAGTCCTGTAGACAGCCTGTGTCTAGCCCTCCGCGGCTCCAACCCCGGCCTCCCCGGCGCGCAGCACCGATCATCACAGGCGGCCCGCGACGGCGGCCGCAGGTGCGGGACAACTGCGTGCTAGAGTGCGGCTCCGGGCGCCTCTGTGTCGCGACACTTGGCCACCCGCCACCTCGGTCTCTGCGGCGCTAAGGACACGGGGACCCAGTCCTCCGCCCACGTGACGGTGACCCCAACGCCACCAAACCGCCCGCTGTCACGACGCGGAACCCTACCTGACCCGCGGCGCGGGGTTCCCGGACACCCGGCACTCCAGGCGCACCCGGCTGCCTTCCGCCACCTCCTGGCTCCGGAGCTTCTGCACGAAGCGGGGCGCCACGGGGGACGGGTCGCGGTCCCCCGGGTGGCAGGGCCCGGTCCCGGCTGGGGGGCCCCCCGCGGGGCCTGGGCCGGCGCTGCGCGGGGCCGGCCGGCTGTTGGGGGACAGATACCCGCTGTCCGGGGACGAGGACTCGCCGTTGGAAGCCCTGTTCCTCGGCCTCGCGGCCTCTCTGAACACGGACGTCAGCTCCTCCATCAGCCTGGCCGCCCTGTCGCCCAGGGGGCCCGGGGGGCCCGCCCCGCCCCGCGCCGGCGCCGGCCCCGCCGCATCTGCGGCCTGCGCCCCGCGCCTGCCCGCGCGCCGGAGGCTGCGCACGTAGCTGGGGCTGGCGAGCGGCGTGGCGGCCGCGGGCTTCCTGCGCCGGGCGGGCGGGGACCGGCTGTGCGCTCCTGTCTCCGCCGCGGGGCTGCGTCTGCCCCGCGTGGCCTCCCCAGCGTCCAGGTCCCCCGGCCCCTGGCCGGAGATCGCCCTCCGGGCCAGGGCGAGGCTCGCGCTCATCTCCTCGCGGCTCAGGAAGGCGGAGAGTCCCGGGGAGCAGCCAGCACCGTCGCTCTCCTCCTGCACGTCGGACAGGGAGTCCCCGGAGCCGCGCCACGAGGACTCCGACATCGCGGCACCTGCGCCTGCACCTGCACCTGCGCCTGCACCTGCACCTGCGCTGTCCTCATGCGCAGTCGGCTCCCGCGGGGCCAGGCTTCCGTCTGGGGTCTGAAAAAAACAGCAGGGAACCATCATCAGTAGCAACGATTTTTTCCTATTGTATCATAAAACTACTAACCTACAAATGGGGAGAAACGTCAGTGAACAAATAATCGGTTCTCTCTATTCTATAAGCTGGAAGAAATGCCAGGTACACGTGTGCGCATCATTTGTGATTGCATTTCAGGGCGCGCGGGGCTAGTTACACCTCGAGTCTCTCTGAGCAGTGTCGGATGGTGCAAAGGACGGTCTTTGTTGCAGGCACCTTTGCCTCCCGGTGGAGTCCAGAAGCTTCCTGAAGGCGGTGAGCCGCAACCGCACCACCTGTGTGGGGAGGGACAGTCCCCCGGCATGCTGAGTCTTATGAAGACTGAATTGGGCTGCTGGTTAGAACCAGTTTTCCATCTAGGGAAGTCTTTAATTTCAAAAAGCATTACGAAAAAACTGAGAGGGTTTCCAAAAACACACCTCAAGAATCTACCACTACAGTGAGTCACGGAACCTGTTAATTAAGCAGAAACGATTTAATCAGAGATCCTAAAACTCAGTATTAACCTACCCTTTTTCCTTTAGTTGAGTGTTGTACTTTATAGTCTTAGGTGTCTTCTTAGAAAGGTTAGTTACTTTGTTGTATTGAATTATGAGATTCTCCACATGCTAGTTCTACTCCATGTACTAAAGTGCATTCCCTACTCTTCTTCAAGAAAATCCTAAATCCGTTAGAGTGGTCTTGTCATCGTCCCTCCTGATATGAACCCATACATCACTCTAATTCCTTTGTCCTGTCTGTGCTCCGGGTTGGAAGAGCTCCATGGCCTCCCCAGTTGTCCAAACACAGCCCGTATAAGGAGAGAAGTTATAGTCAGTGAATCGGGAATATGTTTTGTTCACGAGAAACAGGCAGAGCATGATTTTGAAAAGGCAAAATTGTGGCAAATGTGAACAAGTATAACATAAAACGTGCATTCAAGACACTAATTTTATTTGACAAATTAACTGACGAAACCAGTAAGATGTAACAACCATGTCAAAGTAGACGCCGAGGGCCAGGCACATATGTGGGCAATCAAGAATGCTGGCGTGAACCTGCTAATAGATCTGGTTAATATTTATAGAGCAACCCAATGTAATCTTTGGAATCATTTATATCAACAGCATTTCTACTAGAAAAAACTCATTTGTGTATCTGTGTACAAGTATAATTTGCATGGCTATCAGCTTTCTACAACGTGCAGAGTTGTAAAATTTCCTAAAGACAATGAAAGCCATAGACCCCAGCAGATCCTTCCCCTGGAAGGTCCACCAGGGCCACCCGGCACCACCCAGCAAGGGCGCCCAGGGCTATTGTTTTTTTCATTTCAAAGCCTTTTACACTTTGCCCTGACAGGGCGGGGTGGTTTCTCTCAGTCCAGAGCTCCCACATGCAACTGGCCCCACAGTCAGCAAACACGGAGGGTCACGCCAGGGCAAGCAGGGCCAGGATCCCTTAGCGGGTGAAGGGTGAGTCGCTGGGCGGCAGGCCCAGAAGGGACCTGGAGAGGGGAGGAGGGACCCGGGCTGAAAGCATGTTTGTGCACTGCGGGCGGGACAGGCCGTATTTATGTTTCTTGCAAAGTTTATTTTTCTTTGAAAGAGAAGCTACTGGGGTTTTTTTGTTTTGTTTTGTTTTTTTGGCATGAGAGAAATTCAGTTTTCGTATTGAAGTCTGTGCGGAGAGAGCTTGAGACACAGTTTGTGTCAGCAGTAGGCTCCGCTAGAAGTCCGAGCAGATAATGCAAACGAAACCTTTGGTTCTGGAAGTGACTAACTTTTCAAACTTAAGCTGGGATAGATGTACTACACAGAAAAGCATGGCCCATTCAAAATGCATTTATAGGGTACCTGCCGCACGCCCAACAGCGTGCTTGGGATGGGGGTGTAACTGCGGAAAAGAGACCCTTGACTTCTTGGAGCGTGACCGTCCACGTGGGATACAAACGGTAACACGCGCAGGTGGTGCGGTGCGTTAAGTGCTGTGATGAGAGGAAAACAAAGCGCCCTGACAGCTCCTGGGAGGGACGGCAAGGTTAGCATCAAGAAAATCCTGTGTAAGAGACAAGGCTGAGAACTCAGAAGAGTCGGGGAGAGGAGGTAAGCAGGATGTTGGCAGAAATGTGGACAAAGACCTGGATCCCAGACGGAGTGTGGCAGAGTCGGGCGGCGGAACGGGTTCAGCTGCACAGAAATCGCCCTGGAGCGCAGGGAATGAATAGTTGGAGGCGAGACCAGGCAGTGGGAGGCAGGACAGGGAGGGCCTGGGCCTCGAGAAGAGCTTGGGTTTTATTTTATGGGCAGTTGGGAGGCAAAGAAGAGGGTTAAGTCTGCGGGAAACATCACCAGAGTTACATTTTGGGGAGATAACTGAGTGCAGCCCGGCTTTGGGACAGAGCTGGGGGAAGAAGAAGATAGAACAGTCCGGGGTGTGTACATTTATCCCTGCCTTGTTTTGGTCGCCACCCTCTGAAGCCCCCTCTGGGTTTTGGATAACTCCTCATAGCATGAACCTCAGTGAGAACCTGGCTCGCTGGCAATGGATGTGAAATCTCCAAACATTTCCCTTCTCAGCCCCTCGGAGCCTGGGCGCAAGTCTGGCGGGTGACCCAGACTTAGAACGCGACACGTTCATCTCGGACTTCGAGGGGAGGACTGACAACTGAAGGAAGCAACAGGTGCCAGTCCGCTCTGGCAGCTGGACCCGGCAGCAGGGACGGGGACGTGGGGGGCCCAGGGCCAGCAGCATGGCTGCACTGGGGGGCCTCGAGGGCTGGAGATGGCAGCCGTGGCGTGGGCTGTTCAGCTGCGGCAGCGGCGGTGGCTGCACACGAGGGTTTGGGGGACACAGTGCTGGCCGTGGTCTTGCCACCAGCATAGATTCCAGGCCTCATTCGTGGGTTGCCACCACCGCTATCAACAAACCCAGTCGCACTTCGACTGGCTGGAGAATATTCTGTTAGTGCCACTACAGAACACAATTGACAGCAGATAAAAACGGTGGTAGAGGTTTGGACGTGGGCGCTGGGATGGAACACAGAAGACTGAGCCACCAGGCAGATGACGGACGGCAGAGCTTAGGGACTGACGCAATGCAGAGATGGGGCAGGGGTGGGCTTGCAGGTGTCGAACTTCAGATGAACGGTGCGGTCAACGCACAGGCGGTAAGTGGAGGAACGAGTCTTGAGAAAAAAACAAGCTGAATTCGGTTTGAGCCTTTTGCACTGGGGGGACCCCTGGGGCCTGGGGCTCCGGGGTCAGGGAGGCTGTTTGCCACGCTGGTCTGGCGCGGGAGGAGGCACAGCCTGCGGGCGGCACTGTCGGCCATGGGAGTAAATCAGGTCCTGGAGGAAGAGAGAGAGACAGAGCCCTGCAAGGAGTCGGAGGGGAGCTGTGAGCCAGTGTCAGGGAAGCGGGAAGGAGAATTTCTCAGGGAGCAGTTAGCACCACTGGCAACAGCAGTCTTGGTGCATGCGACAGAAACGCAAGCCAGGTGGTCACAGAAGGAAAGACGGAAGGATGAGTGTGGCAGACGGTTTTAAGAAGTCTGCAGGAAGGGAGAGAGACAGGAGGTAGTAGTTGAACAAAAATATGGCATCTAGTGAGATTTTCTGTTTGGTTTTAGGACGGGGCACAGGAACACGGTTCAATATGCATAGAATAGGCAGTAAGGACGCTGAAAACCAGTGTAAGGAAGTGGGATGATGTACAGCTCTGATCCCCGAGGACTGGAGAAGAAACGGGTTATTACAGCACAGTGGGGCGCTCGGCTGCAGGTAGGTAGGGCAGTTCCTCCCTTGTCAAAGGAGAGGAGCGACAGGGGGCAGGGAGAGAGAGAGTATCTAGACACATTTGCTATTGAAAGAAGTTCAACTTTCTCAACACAGGGCCTAGTGTAAGACTTCTGTGCATCGGATGTCTGTGAGGACAAGAGAGAGTTTGAAATGGCTGTTGTGGGGAAAGGGAGACGGTTTCCTTTCCCAAGAAGGATGTATGGGCAGAGTGAGGACTTGGTTGGAAGTGGGTGCCAGGCATTTTCAGCGCCGTCTGTGCGACACTGTGTCTCCCGTTCCCCGCCGGAGCTGAGCGGGCGGGCGAAGGTGCAGAGGAAGACGGGCAGGTTTGCTGAGCAGTAGGAAGGGAAGGAAAGGGGCCAGGTGTTGAAAATATTGGCAAGGGACGGGCGGACTTTGAAATGTATGCTGGATTGGAATTCAGGGGTAGGATTCTGAACATAGAGAGGCTAAGAACACACAGAAGTCCCAAAGAAAACAAAGGAAAGATGAATGAGGAACGCTGAGTTGAGAGGTCCAGAAAGACAGAACTGAATAGTTTAGAAGCAGAGCTTTCTGAGTCCTGACTTCATTTTTGTTTTAAATAACGTTTCTTTTTTTCTAAATTTAAATTTCCATTGAGTCATATCTGACAGTTAAAGCTGTATACAGGTACGGTGTACCATGTGAGACCCGCTAACCATAGACGCTGTGAAGCTGTCACCGCAGTCATGCCAAGTGACACATCCATCACCTCCAATGGCTATCATTTTCTTGTTCTTTCTTTTTTCTCTTGTGTTTGGTAAGAAAACGTATGGCCTCCCTTCCTGACCG